ATACTTTTTTTCTGGCTAACTCAAATTCATTCACACCAGACCTTTGTATGTGTGTTTTGAAGAGTACATACAGTTTAATTTTATGGCGCGGATACCAAAAAGAGAAAAGTTTTGGAAATGGTATAGATTTTGTTGAAATTTATTAAACTCCTACGACCACTGTAAGCAGAAGTAATCAGCGCTCCATAATGTTTGAGAATTCTTAATCCTCAAATAATGATAGCATTTAGCATTAGCATTTCTTCAGGAACGGATTTTTTAACCCAGTATTTTGGACACTCTTCAATTTTCGATTAATTCTGTCTTCGTGACAGCATAAGCAATCTGATTTTCCTCTTGCTTGGAAAAGTGTAAGATTTCGTTGCAGCTGTGTGGAGTAGTTTTGGCAAACTTGGAAATTTGGCCAATATCGAATTTTACTGCTGAGTAACTGTTGCTGATTAATGACAGCGAAAATTTTGTGAGTTTTAGTGTGTACCAAAATGCTGGTGCATCCTAAATGTATTTCGCGGCCCACTTCTACCATTTAAAAAACTTTAGCTTCCTGCGCTACTAACAGAAGTGCACAACCTTTTTGCTAAAGTTGATTTTCATTCAGTTTAATTAAACAAATTATTAATGGTAATGCTGCAAAAGAATGAAAAGATTGCGGAAATCGAAAAATTGGTAAAAGTGGAAAAATTCTAATTGCAAAGAATTCTGATGGATGTCTACCGGCTCTAATACAACATGCAGAACACATTTCTTGCCCAAATGGGTGCAGTTTTATTGCCCGTTGTAGAAAATGACTTGTTTTTTTTTTGTCAAAATGAAATCAAGGGTGGCAAAATTTTTAAAATTTTACTGGTTTTGATGCTTCCAAACGTTTTATTTGAACTTACAACTTGTAGATTCTGCTCTCTTCAGCACAAAGCCTACTCATCATCCTGTTGTGAATGTTTCAAAAGCCTTTTTCCGGTATCTTGTAAAACACTTTAATGCTCATTCCTTCCCTTCCCCAGTTTCTCTTGTGGATTGTATTTTTGGGTTTATAAGTTGCTAAATGAGGACGTGCGTTGTAAAATTAGTTAGAGTGTTGAAGTAGTGCTGATAATGCTTGGAGCAAATGTTATGCGCTGTGGGTCAAAAAAATACTGGATGTTTTTATAAGTGCCGCCGATATTCTTTAAATCGGTGGGTAGGCTAGACCGGTTCGCAGATGGGATTTTTGTTGCAGCTAAAGCATTTTGCAGAATACTGTTTATTTTGTCACGTGTATAAAAATCTGTCTCGTTGATAGTCGCTGCTAAATAAGTGAATTTCTCGTGAATTAAAACTTGTTTGCAAGCTAACGAAGCTGCCATGACAACATTTTTTTCATCCCTTTTATTCTCTCAAGCGCTGCCCGCCAAGCTTTTGAGGCCACAGAAGTGCCGACGCTATACACTTTTCATTTTCGAGACTGCATGCAGATAGCACAACACAATTATAAAATTTTCATTGAAAAAAAGATTCTGAAAATTTCCAAGTGTACCCAGAGCTGTAAATTTATGCAGCGGCGCTTCCAAAAATTATTTTTAATGAGGCAAACAAGTGATTTCCGCGTGCATTTTTTGTACTTCGGAATGTGCAACAGTTTTCGGATAAATCAAGTTGTGCCCATTTTAAGCCACACTTAAAACAACTTGATTAGCAAAAATCGAGAAAGACGGGCAACATTCCAGTCTTTTAAATAACCGATGTTGCCGGATAAAATTGCCGAAAAAATTATTTCGTCAAGTTTTAGTGGCATTTTCTTATTGATGAGCATTCTTTGATATCTTAATAAAATTCATTTCATAGCCAGCTCGCTACTCAAGCAACTAGCAGAGTTTTCAGTTGCTTTGATCAATGCTACATTGCTTGCCCGTCAGTCTACTACTGATTCTAACGCTTGATTCAACTCATGAAAGGATTGCTAGCTTAGAATTTTCCCGACAAAAGCTTTCTGTCAACGTTTTAGCCATTTCGAAATGTCATTGGTGTGTGTGTTGAGGATCATCACCGTCCAGGATGTTGCTGCTTCTTAATCGCAGTGAGGTTCCTTGCTGATTAGGAGAGGAAGGGATGAAAAGGGGAGGGACGGGTAAGAAGGAGAAATATGGGGTGAATATAATGCTTGGATATGAGGTGAATATAATGCTCCTTCCCCCCTTCTCCGTCACTTGTTATCACGTCGGAAGTCGAATGTTCCCTCTCTCCTCCCCCTTCCCTCCGGTCTCATCGCCTCACCCGTCTCCGGTTGCCCCGCTACTGTCCCCCCCCCCTCGCCCGCCTCGCTACCTCCCGCCCATCGGTCTCGACAGCAGTGCCCCGAGGAGGACGGGGAGGCGGGGAGAAAGAAAGTGGGCTCCGGGGAGGGGGGGAGGAGGGAAGTGGCGAAGAGCGTTTCTTCACTTTTAGTATTGCTACCTGTGTTATCCGGGGGGCGAAAGGCCCATTGTACCCCTCCTCCCCCCTCCCCACCCCGTATCCGCCAATGCCTATATGGGAGGAAGATGAGCCAGGTAAAAAAAAATTAACAGTTATGTTTACATCACCTAGGAAGTGTACATGTCCAAAAATGCCTATTTGAAAATTACGCATCAAACAGCTGCCAGTTGACGCAAAATGCACTGCATCACCGGTGCTTCCAGAATGTCAAACCGGAAAGACAAGGCTCTTCTTTTCAACAGCACTGTACTATAATTAATGACATACGGATGTGAAACGTAGTAAATGAGAGGGCAGAAATCTCTGACCTAAACTGAAGTACTTAGCTAGTGCTAAATAACAGATAAAAATGATATAATGATAAAGTAATACGACTACTTTCAGTGTATTGACGCATTCATTTGGCGTACACATTACTGCAAAAATGCTCGGAGTATTTTTTAGCACATATTGCCTGAAGAACTGTCAAAAATAACAAATTCTTAGAAATTTCATAAAATTTAATCATAAAAATTGCATTTTTCTTATTACTGTTATTACTGTTCTGTCGTTATTTCAATCTTTCTTAGTCAGCGTTGCAACGATCACCAGAAAATTCTGTTTGTGGCAGCGAATTTCTGCACTGCAGTGGTAACAGAAACCACTTCGATTCACAGGGCAATAAGTAATATTCATGTTTATTTCAGAAAATGATCGGGGTATGCGCCGGGATTAACTCTGTAGTAACGTTGTTGCATTTCGTATTTCGTTTGTGTGCTTACTTATAAGCAAGAATTTTTAGATAACGGCTATATCCTAACAGTCTCAGAGGAACGATTCAAAGAAACTGATTGTGGCGGTGGCCTTACCGGAAAAGTAAGTTGCTTAATTCCCTCGATAGAGTAAATGTGCGTTTTCATCTTCGCCAAGACTTACTGTTCTCGACATCTAAATGCATAATTGCCCTGGCCGTGACTTTCTCGGAGAAAATGGAAACAGTTTGAGCAATTTTTCAGAACGAATGCATGAAAGCTCATTTTTTCCCTTCATTAATTGTCGGAAGCTATAGCAACATTTAATTATTTATTGCGTCAGCAACGATGTGAATCAAACAGGATCGTTTTAATGCCAAGCTTTCAAAGACGTGTCATGAAAAGAGGCCAGTGCAAGAGGCTATCTCCTTTGCTGAGCCAATCCGCTCTTGCGTCCCTAGCTACTGCTTAAATGTGGTTGGGAAATTGATACTGAATGAGGGAATTCGGTTGGCAGAAAGGTCCTTGCAGTAATTGCTCGAAGGTGTTAAAAAGCCGCTGCCGAGGCTAGAAACCAAAAGTGCAAATCAATGGAATTGCCGCTGCAATTGTTTATTGCCGGTTTCCTTCAGGCGAATAATCACGGCCTGCGTGTGCCCCACTAAACATGCTTCAGGAGCAGGTGCTCTTCTTTTTTGGTTGCGCACATAAGACGGCAGCAGTGGTCGTGCCAGCCCTGCTCCGGCCGGCATTTATGCTAAATTTTTCTTTCATACATCTCATTCATGCGAAACAAAAAACGCAAGAGATAAATTTTGTTGAGGTAAATTATGGCGGGATGGTGTATTTTAAAGAATCTTGACTGCCTTTCATGTTCGACAGTGAGCAATAGCTTGCGCCAAAAAGCTGTGCGCCTTTTGCGATAAATTGTTAAGAAGCGCAGTGAATGAATGCATATCAGCAGAAGAGGGATTTCATGCACTTTATCACTATGATCATTTAGCCCATTCGGCGCATTAAAAATACCAGAACTTCTGGATTTTCAGTTTCAATACTTCAGTAGTTATATTCTCAGCCTGCATTCAAATGATGGTTATGAATCGTGGGAGAATAAGTCAGTTTCAGATTATACATCCTGTATTATGCTTTGATCGAAAGCTGAAGAACCCCGGATTTGTGATTCCTTTACAGCAAAAGTGCACTGGATCGCTTGAATTTGGATCCGGGTTCATAGATGCAGACTTTGTTTAGCAGAGGATTCTGATTTCACTAAATTTCCGGGGATACTGATTACACTACATGCCTCTAGAGGCTGTATGGAGCTTAGAAATTAAATTAAACTTTCAATTTTCTGCACCCTATTGCCATAAAGTACCAATCTTATAATTACAGTTTTTAACTCTAGAAGGAGGAATAGACGGTTCATCAACAGTAAGGTTTGATACTAAAGGCTCTTAGCTGTGCCAGCAATATACTTCGCGTTTTTTTGCTTAATTCTTTGTTTATTTTGAGAAGTTCTGAAAAACTCAATAACCATCCGGTGAGCTGATGCTCTCAGCACAATTAGAACAATTTTCACGCATAAACGGTACTTGCAACGGCCAGAGGATGAATTCCCATTCGAATACATATTAGTCTGTTTTCATTTGCAGTCCGGTAGCTTCATGGGTCTGCTTCTGTTAATGCAGTTGCGAGCACTCCGAACAAACGAGTAACAGCGTAGAGTGTATGTCCTGGAATATTCATTGAAAGAAACAGCTTAAAAGTGGACGATAGCGAATACCGTCATCGATGTGAGGGGTTCCATGAACTGTGGCTATGCCGGTGGCTAAGCGAGGACTTGTTGCTCCACAAAACACATTCCTCGAAAATGTCATCAGACGCTGCAATAGTGCTGGTAAATCCATTATTCATAATGACAAGCTCCCTGGCATAAACAGCTACGAACTACAGTAATAGGCTTGCTCTAACTCCTGTGTATTCGGATTTTTGTCACTCACATGCAACCCAGCAATCGTAGAAGCTAGGAAACTGAAATTTCATAAGTCCATAACATTAAAATCAGCTTTCTTGTTTGCCTGGGCTTCATTTACGGCCACCTAAAAAGCTTGCAAATTTCTTGGCGGAAAAACGATTTTGGGAATCGGACAGGACAAGAAGCTAAGAATTCGTGTGGATGTTTCTGCCCACGCGTAAGCAAAAGGTTTCAAATTCAGCAACCACGCAAACCTACGCTGCGAGTGCAAATGCGTCAAGTTGAGTCCAGACTCATTTTGTAAAGTGCCAACTTGGGAAGTAGACTGATTTGAATGCCCTGAATTTATGACAATATTTGCTGTTTGCCCCCCTGTAGACTTAAAATAAACTTTGGCGTTGCGCAAGATCTTATAGACACAGACACTCATACACCTGATTTCGTAAGCATACGCCTTTGCGTTATAAAAGAAAATATGAAAATGTGAATAAGGATGACAACAAGAGCAACAAATATTTAATAAATTAGTGAGACATTTACTGCAGATACTAGCTTCATATTGGCAAATGCTCAAATAGTGGAATATCCGATCGTTTACTGTAACGACGGCTTTGCTAAAATGGTTGGCTATTCAAGGGCTGAAATCATGCAGAAACCCTGCTCGTAAGTTTTTAGTTTTCTAAAATCTTTCTCACAACAACAAAACTGAACGGATAAGAGATGTAAATATCGGTATGCAATAAGAGGACAGTGCGGTTGTGCATTTTGCTATCAGCTGTTGTAGAACCACTGTGAGTAGATACAACGAGTGTGATCAATTGGGTGTTTTTCATCCTGTGATTTTTCAACCTCTGTAAGCAAAATCTGCATATAATTAGATTCGTAGAATGAAGGTTGATTTTAAATCATTCTGTCCTCATGAGAAACTAATTCTGAAAACTTTGAAATTTATTGCTCAATTTGTGACTCAGTCAGACACTGACATGCAGTTGCGAGCAAGAAAACAATGAGATTCAATAACTGATTTCCGGTCATTCATTCTGCATTGTCTAATGGACCAAAAATCTAAAATTTCGAATTTCTGGCTTGTTCAGCTTTGAAAGCTTAAATGCAGCGCTAGAAGCTGAGTAAACAATGGTAAAATTGAGCTAGTCAAAAAATGAGCTTGAGTTCGCAGACCAGAATACATTAAACTTTGAAAGTCGCTTTCACTAAATTACAACTTTTTCCTTCGAGTGTTGCATATGCTTGCACAGTGACACGACCTTACTGCTACCTATCTTTTTACCTTTTTGCGGAAAAACCTAGAAGTACCAAAAGTAGCTTTCATTTTTTTAATTTTTTTTCAAATTCATGTTTTTTTTCACTTTTCATTCATGCTTTTTCGTGTTCATTTTTTTCACGTTTTTGCGATGCCACTGATTTTCAGGCTTTCGTTCATGCACACCGATCAAAGCGAGCCGGAAGCAGTAAAGAAAATTCAAAATGCGCTCGATTCTTGCCAAAATGAGCAAACCGAAATCGGGTTGTGCAAGAAAAACAGTATGTTTTTCACGTGTTTTTA